TACCGCCACTGCTATCCTTAACTTCGTATGGTCTATAACGGTCGACATTATCGTAATCCACATTCAAACCTCCTATGCTAACTTATTAACATACTACCGTAATCCATATCACATCAATAATCAATAATCAATAATTAACAAACTCGGTGCAGGGGATTGAGCAAGAATGTGACTTTGAAGCCTTTTCCAGAAGCGCCAGATTCAAACCTCCACGCCAATGGACACGCGCCGCCTCTCGCCGCCGGAAATCCCCCGGATCCTGTCCGTGTTTTTGGTGAGTGGAGATTGAGTAGCTGATGCCCAATGCTTCAACTTCACAACCTTGCTTCTTCATTATATCCGGCCAAGAGGAGGATCGGATCGGATCGGAGATTAATTTGGCTCCCAGTGCAAGGATGAAGAAGAAGAAGAAGAACGAAGAAGAAGAAGAAAGAAGAAGAAGGGGGTGAATGAAGAAGAAGAGAGTGAAATGACAATTTTACCCTCGTCAAAAAATAATTTGAACCAATTTATGTTTTTTCGGCCAAAATTGGCCGGCAATTTGGTCCGGAGGACCAAAAGTGCCAAAAATTGCATAGTTAAAGGTTTAAATTGGGAGTTTTGAAAGTCACGTACTCAAATTGTCAGTATCCTAATACTCATAGGACCTAAAGTGCAATTTGTTCTATTAAAAATGTACTTTTTGTGATGGTCCACATAACATTGTGTGGACCATGGTCCACACAATAATTTGCCGCGAAACACACCCTTAGAGTGGTTGTAGGCTTGTAGACTTGTAGTGTTCCATCCAATATTTCGTGAATTATGATTAGAGAAATAATTAATGTATTGTTTCAATCACGCAGATTTTAATTTAATGGGAGGAATAAGGACATGGTGAAGGGGATATAATGGTTATTACTCTTATACTCTAACCACTTCAATATTATGATTATCCTAAATATATTTGGAGAGAAAATAAAATTAGTGATGTATATGAACTTTGTTTAAGAAGCTACCTCATTGTCACTGTGAAACTCGATCCCTGATCGTTCATCTCAAACTTTATCTATGTGACCAACTGATGTAGTGGTCATTTTGTCCGATCCGATCCATATTTGTTTAACACTTTAAGTATTTATTTTTTCTTTTCAATGTACAAAATAAATATGAGTTAATACTCAAAAAGATCCTCGACTATAGTGGTTTTTTTCAATTTTGTCCTAAACGACTTTGGTGACTTAATGTAGTCCTAGAGTTTTGTGTTTTTACTCAATTTAGTCCCAAACTTCTATGTTTTTGCTCAATTTAGTCTCCCATTTGTTATTCCATCCATTTGTTGTTAAATAAATAGGCAATTCAGTAATTTTAATATTGACATCTCTTTACTCATAGACATGTGAAGTGCAAAATCCCTTTTTTTTTTTTTTTTTTTACGAATTACTCCCAGAATCACTACTAAACCTGCGAATATAAAATTTGATTCGTAGGCCTGAGAGTAATTTTGGGTGTAATTCGTACAAAAAAAGAGGGATTTCTCACTTCGAAGGTTGAAAGTAAAGAGATGTCAGTATCGATATTATTGAATTGTCCATTTATTTAACACCAATTTGACCGAATAACAAACGGAGGACTAAATTGAGCGAAACACAAAAGTTTAGAACTATATTAGGTCACCAAAATCGTTTAGGACGAAATTGAAAAAAACTAATTGATAGTGCTAATTGCCACGCAAGCGGTAATTAAGATAACACAAGACCAATTAAAGCAAACAACTCTTTTATTGATCGAGGTGAAGGCCCTAAGTACAATCTAAATAGCTGTTCCGAGTGCCGACTGACTGCGGTCGGGATGCTCTGATAACAACTTATCGATCGTCCAAAAGTCCTCCACACTGTTGCTACGGCGGGTATTTATAGCCGCGGCGCCGGAGACACAAACCCGGCTTTCCGGCTAGCCCCACACGTGGCAAACACGTGTCGTTCTCCCTGGCGCCCTGCTGTCAACGCCAAGTGTCGACACGTGTCTCTCCTCAACTCTCTCGTCGAAGGGCTATCGCTCGGTGGTCGACCACTCCGGTCGAGCGATGCCCGGTCGGGAACCGACCGGGTCTTTCCTAAGAAACCCGCCCTGTGACCTGCAAAAGGAGAAGGAAAGAGACGAAGACACACCTGTCGGGCAGGCATAACACGGTCGGGATATTCCCTACCACTAATATAGTAGAGAACAATTTTGGGCATTAACTCAAATAAATATATACTCATTTTGTTCATTTCACCTGTTGTGTACGTGCACACGTGCATGTATGTTTTTTTTTTCGAATAATGTCGGTCAGAAAGCTTCATTATTGCCTTGAAAAATATATTTTTTGATAGTTGAAAATTTTTGGTTAATTCAAAATGTAAAACTTTTAAAATATTTTAGAAAAAAAAAAAAAAGATAAGAAGGAAAAAAACAAAACAAAACAAAACAAAAAGAGAGAAGCAAAGAAAATGACAAAAGAAAAATATAAATAAAGATCAGAAGAGATCGAGGATGAGAGAAAGAAGTAAAGGAGGTGATCGAGGAACCAAAGAGACACACTTTTTTTTTCTTTTAATATTATCTGGCAACACCTTACTGCCAAAGTTGTAGAAACATATTCCGGTAAAAACTTAAATTTATATCTATTTCAGAGAAGCTCCTTTTTAGTTATTTGTTTATTTTTACTAAAATCTAGCATATAGTTATTTTTGTCATAAGGAATATGAATTTCTATCTTATGGCATACGTTATATGCTCAACACGTTCTCTTATGGGCTCCAAGTAAAACGTAGATTATAGTCTCTATACCAAATTGAAATATGTGCTCCATTTCAACTAAAAGCTTAAGGTAATAGTTGGATTGCATATTTATGTTTATGTATTATACTATTATATGCTCAACATTGCCATGCCAAATAATTATGTTTTTATTTATAAAGATTTTCAACCACTCATGTTTGAACAATAGGAAAACATGCTAAGGAGCTAATCGGACAAGTTCTCTAACGACCATTTGTCAGTGGTTGATGTTATCCGCCACTTTCATGAAACAACCTCGTATCATTTTAATTACACTTTAGTTCCATTTGACAATATACGTTACTGAACTCTATTTTTTTATTTCATTTTCCACACAAACTAGTTTCATTATAGTAATGTCGAAGTATTACTTTAATTACACTTCCGATTTGTTTGACAATATATATTATTGTATGTGTTATATTTTTTTAGTTTCATTATACCAACACTAAATTATCGTTTCAATTCTACTATAATTTCATTTGACAATATATATATTTGTAGCATGATACATCATTGGTTCACGATAACAGTAAAAAAATAATAATAATAAAAATTGTTTTGGACCATGGTCCACATAGTGTTGTATGGACTTGTGTGGACCATAGTCCACTGTATAACAATTGCATACAGTAAATTAGTAAATATATTTCTTTCATTTTCCAAAACACCGGCAAATTATATTAAGGACCACGGTCCACATTGCAATGTGGACTTCGAATAAATGTTCCTTTTTAGTATAAAATATTAATTTTTAATGTACTAAAAGTTTTTTTTTTTTTTTTTTTTTGGTAGTATACCTAAAAATGAACCTTCAATACACAAAAAATGAACTTTCAGAAAGAGAACATTCAATGTACTAAAAATAAACTTTTGATATACGAATAATGAACCTTATATCAATGATACTGTCTATCTTGTAAAGTGAATCATAGTCCATGGTATAATGATTGCAAAGCACCAATGCTTATATTGTGGATTGGTCTAAGTGGCTTTCTAACTCAGTTTTACAATGTTCTAATATTTGCAAAAGACATTGGAACTTTCTTTTAAGTCCCCAACAAAATTTTAAGACTAGGTGCTCCAAAACTGGAAAATAATTAGCAACTGCTTTTCAATGTTTGAGATACGATTGTACAATAAGGAGTGCCTTTAGTCCTTGAAACCCCCTTATCAAGTAATATTTGGACACTTCTGTGCATTTCTCGTTCCCTATGCTTTTATCTAATTCCCCAATCTTAAATCCTTTTTTGGCATCTTTACTTGAACCATCCAAATCGGAGCCTATTTCATGTTTATTTCTTGTGAGTAAGTCTTGTATGAGACTGTCTTACTGTGAAACGTGTGATACTTTTTAGTTAAAATATAATACTAACTTGGAGCCCTGTAGATGATTGGTTTTCTTCCCCATAAAGACTTGCAAAAGGTGAAGAACCAGAGATGGATTTGGTTTCAGAAGCTGCTGTTCTCTACTATTTTAGTAGCCATTGAGCAACTCTAAAATGTTTCTGCAACTCAACCCAAAGTTGTTAGTCTCAATTAATGGGTTAGCTGTCAAAACAGGAAATACAAAATAAGAAAAGTGTAGAATATTAGTTGTTGTTATAATTGCTACTTTTATAACTAAAATTCATTTGAATCCATAATGAAATCTGGGGAAATAATTAACATCTTAAAAACATATATAATAATTTCAAGAATTTGCTTTCTATCAGAAAACACTACCAATAACAAAGGAAGAGACTGTCAGGGCAAGATACAAACCAATTTGATGAGTTCAACTTAGGATGTAACAGAAAGCAATATATAACACAGATGGATTTTATTGTTCTAATCAAATTGAAAGCAAAAAATACAACATTTTGATGAACCATTGAGCTCTGCTAGCTTGAAGAATCCACTGGGAACTGAAACAAGAGACCTTTTCTATTTATGTGAATGTTTCTTTCCCCCGAAAGCGAGATGATAAACATCTTCAATCAACCCACAAAGATAGATGAACACCAATCTGGATTGGACTTGAAAAGTGAATATATTTATGGACTTCCTGCAACATTTTTGCCAGTTCTGAACTCGATGAAACCAAACAGTGGACATCGGCAATGACCACCTACAAGCTGAAATATAAAGTTAAGTTCAAATTCTATTGCATGAATAACCCCTCCTTGCACGAAATTAAAGTAAAATTATGTTTATACCAATTACTGTTCCGATATTGCATTGCATTACAATAGCCTCCTCGGTCACTTTCTTCATAAAACTCTCCATGCTTTCCTCTTCTTAGAGCTTTCAACACTTACTTCTTTAGAGCTTTCAACAATTTCTTCTTCACAGCTTTCAAAACTTTCTTCTTCAGAGATTTCCACAGTTTCTTCTTCAGAGCTTTCATTATTTGGCAATTCAACCTTGAAAAGTAATTGAAAATGAGAACACAAATAAAACTAAATTAATACAAAGAACTCGAAGGCAGAGGACTTAGATTTTAAAGAAGAATTAGAGAGAAACCTTAGTTCCAATATGATGAACACGAAGTGCACAATCTGGCATGTTCATAGAGGAAAACGCAAGAGAAGTACAACTGTCTAACACAATTAATTTCATCGTTCCAATTTTTGCAAAACAATCTGGAACCTTTTTCAAAACCCAGCAATATCTTAGGATTAAGCGCTCCAAAACTGGGAAATGATTAACATTTGCATTCCATTGTTTCAGATTTGTATGTGCAATAAGGAGCACCTTTAATACCAGAAATTGCCCCTTCTTTGGTTTCCACTTTGGGCCACAAAAGCCGAAATCTTTCAGTTTCAATATCTCAAGGTTGGGCAACTTACCAATTATGCCCATCACTTTCCATGGAAGATAAGTACAACGAAGCGTCAACTTCTTCAGGTTTGACGGAAAAGCAGTGGGAAGATAAAACCGCTCAACCCTTCCAATTTCAAATTTTAACTTCTCAAGTAGATGTAAATGGACAAGGCTCTTAAGACAACCAGGCAATAGTTCACCTTCAACGTAAATCCCAAGTTCCTTCAAGTTTGGAACCACTCTAAAGTTTGGATTCTGGTCCGAGCTAGTAACTTTCAACCAATAAAGAGTATGTAGATTTTCTCGAACCATGCTTGGGAGATATTGTGAACATCTCTTTTCAAGGCGCAAATGCCTCAACTGTGGCAAATCCAAAATATTACACTGTAGTTGCAAAGGATAATCTTCCATCCATGAACAGACAATGAGAGTTTGTAAACTTTGAAGCTTCAACAATCTAAACTTATAAAGAGAACCTATAGTGCTTAAACCCAAGTATCTCAAATGAATCAAATCAGTTATTCCACTAGGCATGCCATGTAAGTATTTAACAAAAGACAGATCCAGTACTGTTAGCACTTTCAAACACGAGTACACCAACCTGCATTTTGAAAAGTAAAACTCTTTGCCAAAGAAGAGAATGGAGTGAAATTCACGGGAACTGAGATTCCCACAACTGGCTAGAGTGATCGGCCAATGACTTGATTGACAACTTATCCATCGACAAACTTGTAGGGCATGCGTTTCATCAATAATCCGAACAAAGTTCTCTTTTTTAGCCTGTTTCACACAAATCTCATGCAACCGATCGTGAATTTTACACTCCTTCATTTTGCCATCAATACTTACTTTGTCAACTTGAACTAGACTTCTGTTAATAAGATCAAGCAAGCAATTCTCTGCTACTTCCTCTAAACTCTTATTTTTATTTGGCATTAAAAATCCTTCTGCAACCCATAAGTTGATTAATTTCTTAATAGGGATACAACAATTTCTAGGAAAAACTCCAAAATAAAGAAAGCAAACTTTTAATTGACAAGGCATGTAATCATAGCTCAACAAAAGTATTTTCGAAGTTTTGTCATCAGCCCAATCCATTCCATCCAACGTTTCTGCAACTTCTCTCCATACTTTTAATGATCCTTTGGTTGCTGCCAGAAATTTGAGAAGAAATTTGACGCCCAAGTTTCTCTAGTTCAGGGGAGCAAAAGCATCTTACTCCAAACACCTTCATAGAAAATAATTTCCAGCTGTTCTCTAGATTTTGGAACTTCATTCTTTTAATGTCACAAAAATAACTTAAGTGTTCAGCCACATCAACTACCCGAGTAGTTATCATGATTGGATTTCTTTCACTAGAATTATGTGGAAAACATCTTTGGATGGCATACCAGACTTCCGTAGTCCATACATCATCTAAGAAAATTAGATACCTCTTACCCATCAAACTTCTACGTAGTTTCTCTTCTAGTTGAGCTTCGTCCATGTTAGAGATTTCTCTAGTAATCGGCATAATACAACGTAATAAACCAATGAGCATCTCTTTAAGGTTATATTCTTTCGACACAACAACCCATGCTCGAATTTCAAAGCAAGCAGTAATACGTTGATCTTGAAAGACTACTTTGGCTAATGTTGTCTTTCCAATGCCTCCTTCTCCCACGATTGAGATAATGTCTCGTTCTATGGATTCTGACTGAATGATCATATGCACTATCTCTTCTACATCTTCCTCGAATCCTACAATGATTTCATTCTCAGTATTAGAAGCATATTGCAAGCTACCCCCAACCATGACACTCTCCTCCTTGAAATCATTTGTTGATGAACCAACATATGAAAAATTATTTGCATTTTGCATCAAGATCCTTGATTCAATTTCTCCAATATCTCTTACTGCTAGTTCCAAGGTCCTAGAAAGATGAATATATCCCCAAAATGCATACTTTTCTCCCCTATTAGCTGCCTGCAGATAAACTTGATACAGTGCAGATTTTATTTCTCGTTCTATTCGAGCAGCTACACGCCGGATGTCAGCTTCCATAGCAAGTGGGCTATTGTTTTTTTTCCCAGATTCCTCAAGAAAAGCTTGCAAAATGCGGAGCTTGTGCGACAATGACACAAAAATTTCTTTACCATTACGAATCAGAGATGGATTGAGTTGAAGAAGGTGTTCTACCATATCTAGCAGAGAGGTTACGACAACAAAAGCCATTGAACAACTCCAAAGTCTTCCTGAAACTCAAATCAGAGGTATTTGTCTCAATATTGAGCATGAACGAAGACAGAGATGGTTAGCTTGACTAATGGTTGGTGTCATATATTATTATCCAAAAGAGTTGTTTCCCCATACTGATACAGTGATACCATGATGTTTAACAGGTTCTTAAACACAGTAATTTCATGGTTGGATTGTATTACAGTAGAAAACAATACAAATAGCAAAACGAAAATACAAATGGAAATTCAGAATTGCGCATAAAACTATCTAAAAACTCTCTGATCTACAAAAGGTTTAAAGCCAAGCTATCAAAAAAGTAAAGAAATTCAGATGGCAAAGTGGTGAGTGAGTTATGCTGAACTATATCCAAGTAAAAAAGGAATTCAGTGGCAACATATCATCTGGGAGAAAGTATGAAACATACCTTAGGTTGATGAAGATGGAGATGTAGTTACTGAATTGGGTTTGGGTAATATCAGATCAAAATCAACAACTGTTAATGCGTTGAATTCATGAATTTGCTATGCTATTGGCACAACTGGATCTGCAATATCAAGAATATGGTCCCATACTTTTAAATGTTGCAAATATATCTTCATCTTTGCAAATCTGTCACTATTTTGGTCTTCTGGTGAGTGGAAACATCAAACATTTGACATTATTAAGGTTAAGATATCTTCATGAGTTGTTTTAGTAGTTCAGGAGTTTGGTTTGGATAAAATAACTAAATCTAAAGAATATAATGCTTATGTTTTGATTTGTCAACTACTCAACTAACAAAAACTATCACAATCTTGTAAAGTTGATTATATATTTAACAATTTTTTATAGTGAACGATCAAAATGACTAGATGAAACTAATAAGTGAACTTTGTAACTCAGCCAAGTTTTAAACTTTTTCTTCCAATCACAAATAAAATATAGCCCTCGGGGCATTTGGTCAAGTGGATAAGCCTCACTTAAGACTTACTTTTGCCGGCAAGATGGGGCTTTGATTCCTGCGTTTACTTTCTCATGAGTGTGGAGATGGGTACCTAGGGTCCAAGATATAATCTGACAAAGCCATGAAACCAAGGGTTAGCAAAGAAAAAATTAATAAATAAATGGTAGAAAAAAAATAGCAAATGCCAACTGCACATACAGCTGTCTAGCACTTGCACGCATTTTAGTATTCTAATCATTGACTTTTGGCCTTTGCAACCACCTCTTTTGTTTTTTAATCTTTAATTTCATTTACAAAGATAATATATATATATATATATATATATATATATATATATATATATATATATATATATATATATATATATGCCAAAGACCGTGTGGTCAAGCAGCCCGAGCAAGGGCAGTGACTCTTTGTGCTTCAATAGGTACGGCATAGCATAAAATTACCTAACAATACTCTATAAAATTCAGAGGGAAAAATGATGAGTAGGTTATGCTATAGTGCTATACTATATCATTAGCAAAGAACTTATTAAGATATTTCCACAGGTTGTTTTAGTAGTTCAGGTGCTTGGTTTTGGATAAAATAACTAAATCTAAAGAATATAATCCTTATGTTTTAACATGCCAGATGGAAAAAACTATTACAATCTTATAAAGTCGAGTATATATTTTATAATTTTTAACAGTGAATGATCGAAACAACTAATGAAACTAATAAATGAACTTTGTAACCAAATCAAATTTTAGTCTTTTTCTTCCATTATCACAAATAAAATATAGCAAATGCCAACTGCATATGTAGCCATTTGCACTCATTTTAGTATTCTATTCTGCAACCAACTCTTCTATTTATCTAATCTTTCCTTTCATTTACAAAGGTAATGAATATATATAGTTCAAGGAAATACTACAATGTCAAATGTAAAAGTATCGCATTCTCAAAATAAGCATTTTCAAGATACAAACCAATTTGATGAGTTCAACTTAGGATGTAACAGAAAGCAATATAACACAGATGGATTATATTGATATAATCAAATGGAAAGCAAAAAATACAACATTTTGATGAACCATTGAGCTGTGCATGAAGAATCCACTGGGAACTGAAGCAAGAGACCTTTTCTGTTTGTGTAAGTTTCTTTCCCCCAGAAAGAGAGATGATAAACATCTTCAATCAACCTAAAGAGACAGATCAACACCAATCTGGATTGGACTGCAACATTAGCCAGTTCTGAACTCGATGAAACCAAACAGTGGGTGTCAGCAATGACCACCTTACAAACTTCAATCACGAGTCTACAAGCTGAAAGAGAAAAGTGAAATTCAAATTCTATTACATGAATAGCCTCCTTTTGGACAAAATTAGAGTAAAATTATGTATATACCAACTACTGTACCGATATTGCATTGCAATACAATAGCATCCTCCTCCTCTGTCACTTTCTTCTTAGAGCTCTCCACACTTTCCTCTTCAATTCACTCAGTCTCAATGCATTCCTTTTTAGAGCTTTCAACACCTTCTTCTTCAGATATTTCATCACCCTTTTCCAAGCTTTCAGCCCTTTTTCGTGATCAGAGCTTTCAACACTTGCTTCTTTAGAGATTTCCACACTTTCTTCTTCAGAGCTTTCAACACTTTCTTCTTTGGAGCTTTCCACACATTCTTCTTCAGAGATTTCTACAATTTCTTCCTCGGAGCTTTCTACACTTTCTTCTTCAGAGATTTCTAAAACTTCTTCCTTAGAGCTTTCTACACTTTCTTCTTCAGAGCTTTCATTATTTGGCAATTCAACCTTCAAAAGTAATCGAAAATGAGAACAAGAATAAAAATAAATTAACACAACGAATTTGAGGACAGAGACCTTATATTTTAAAGAAGAGTTAAAGAGAAACCTTAGTTCCAACACGACGAACACGCAGTGCCTCATCAGGCATTTTCATAAACAATAACATGTTTGTAGAAGAAAACTGGTTTGTAGAAGCCACAAGAGAAGAAGTACAACTATCTAACACAATTAATTTCATTGTTCCAATTTTTGCAAAACACTCTGGAACCTTTTCCAAATCCCAACAATATCTTAGGATTAGACGCTCCAAAACTGGGAAATGATGAACATTTGCATTCCATAGTTTGATATTTGAATGTGCAATAAGGAGTACCTTTAATACCCCAAACTCCCCATCTTTTGGTTCCCACTTTGGACCATGAAAGGCAAAATCTTTCAATTTAAGAACCTCGAGCTTCTGCAACTTGCCAATTACACCCATATTTTCCCATGGAAGATAAGTACGACGAAATGTCAATTTCTTAAGGTTTGATGGAAAAGCAGTAGGAAGGTAAAACTGTTCAACCCTTCCAATTTCAAATTTTAACTTCTCAAGTAGATGTAAATGGACAAGGCTCTCAACATAACCAGGCAGTAGTTCTCCTTCAATGTAGATCCCTAGTTCCTTTAGGTTTGGAACCATTCTAAAGTTTGGGTTTTGATCCAAGCTAGAAACTTTCAACCAATAAAGAGTTTGTAGATTTTTTTGAACCATGCTTGGGAGATATTGTGAACATCTCTTTTGAAGGCGCAAGTGCCTCAGTTGCGGCAAATCTAGAATATCACATGGCAGTTGCAAGGGATATTCATCTATCCATGAACAAACAATGAGAGTTTGCAAATTTTGAAGCTTCAACAGTCGAAACTTAGAAAGAGAGCCAATAGTTCTAAAAGCCAAGTATCTCAAATGAACCAACTCCACTGTTCCACTAGGCATGCTGTGTGAGTAGTTAATTAAAGATAAATCCAATACTCTTAACAATTCCAAACAAGGGTATAACAACCTGCATTTTGAAAGGTATAACTCTTTACCACAGTAGAGAATGGAATGGATTTTATTGGAAGTGTGGTTTCCATAATTTGCTTGAGTGATTGGCCAATGACTTGATTGCCAACTTGTCCAACGACTAGTTTTTGGAGCATTTTTTTCATCAATAACACAAACTATATTCTCCTTTTTAGCTTCTGTGATGCAAATCTCATGTATTCGGTCATGAATCTTACATGACTTAATTTTGCCATCAATACCTAGTTCGTTAACTTGAACTAAACTTCTATTAATAAGATCAAGCAAGCAATTCTCTGCCACTTCTTCCAAACTCTTATTCTTCTCTGGCTTTAAAAACCCCTCTGCAACCCATAAGTTGATTATTTTGTTAACAAGGATGTTACTATCTTCAGGAAAAGCTCCAAAATAAAGAAAACAAGCTTTCAAGTGAGTAGGCAAGTAGGTATAACTCAATGAAAGTATTTTTGAAATTCTGTCATCAATCCTATCTATTCCATCCAGAGTTTTCTCGACATCTCTCCATATTTCTAATGAATCTTTCACTGTAGCCAGAAGTCCAGCAATCAAAACTATTGCTAGTGGTAGTCCATGGCATTGTAGAGTAATACGATTCCCCAGGAATTGAAGAAAGTTCCTGATCTCCCAGGTGGTCGAATTAGGGTCTTCAAATTTGAAGGGCAAAAAATCATTTCTCCCAAAAGTTTGATATTCACATGTAAGGAAGAAAAACCGATCACCGGATCTCCCAAACACCTTCCTCGTAAATAATGTCCGGCTTGCCTCTAGAGTTAGATACTTCATGAAGTGAGGATCCTCACTTGTGTACCTAGCCACCTCCGTGAACCGAGTAGTTATCAAGATTCGACTTCCATTTAAATTATCTGGAAGACATCCTTGGATGGCATCCCAGGCTGTAGTAGTCCATATGTCATCTAAGACAATTAAATACTTCTGACCCATCAAACTTTTGCAAAGATGCTCTGCTAGCTGGGAGTCGTCTTTCATGGCGATTTCACTCGTGATTAGCATAATACAACGTAAAAGGCCAATTAACATCTCTTTGAGGTTATGATGTTGAGACACGACGACCCATGCACAAATGTCAAAGTGAGTAGTAGCTAGTTCTTCAAAGACTCTCTTAGCTAGTGTAGTTTTTCCTATGCCTCCTTCCCCCACAAGCGAGATCACTTCTCGTTTCAATAGATGTTGGTTAAGGAGCCTTCGCAATAATATAGCTTCATCTTTTGCAAATCCTACAATCACTTGATCCTCAAGCTCTAAAGCCCTTTGGGTAGCAGCCCCAGCCATACTGTCCTGATTCAAATCATTTGCTAATGAATTGACTTGTGGGGATGCAGTTCTTACTTTTTCTATCAAGATCCTTAACTCAACTGGGTCAATATCTTTTACTAATACTTCTTCCAAGGTTTGATGAAGCCCTTCATTAGCTGCAACTATACACTCTCCCTCTCCCTTGTTAGCTGCCAAATAAACTTGTCTCAACCTAGATTCTATTTTCATTTCTGCTTCAGAAGCTACATCTAGGATCTCTGCCTCCAACATTTTTTTCGCCTGGCTGTGGTTGGCTTTCAGCCCAGATTCCTCAAGAAAGCCTTGAATAAATTCGAGCTTTTTGGACAAAGACACTACCAATTCTCGATTATAAATAACCAAAGATGGATTGGGGTGCAGAAGTTTCTCTACTATTTCTAGCAGAGAAGTTACCACAACAAAAGCCATTTCTGAAGCTTAGATCAGAGTTGTTACTCTCAAGTCTCAATTATAGAAACAGAAATAGAATGGGCATAGCGGGGATGGTTAGAACTATCGAACAAGATACATATGCTTTGGCATTTGGGCATTACACTATACTATCAAAATAAATAAATTTGCCAGCAAAATCAATTTCAGAAACATAAAGCATACCTTCACAGAAATCGTATTGTAGAGATTGTAGTATGTTGATGAAGAGAGTGGCTTAGCAATATCAAGAACAGTGATGGTGGTAGGTAAGTCAAAACTTGTTTGTTGAATTTGTCAATGCTATGGGCACAGCTGGGTCTGCAATATCAAGATCAGCGTACCGGCTCAATCATTATGGACCATAATCTATTTTGTTGAATATTACTCACTCTATTAAAATTTCAAATCCATTAAACAGAACATAGTAAAAATTCAAATAGGCCATTCAACTGCACATCAAATTACAATTAGGTCATTGAATTAAAAAAGAATGCAATTGAATCGTTAAACAACACAACAATATGCAATTTAGTCCAAAATAACTTGTTTACCTGATGTTGCAAGTTACCGATTTTAAAATTAATTTTTTAAAATAATTTTTAATAAATAAATAATTAAAATATTAAAAAAAAAACTACAGGTCGGAGACGAAGAGACCTTTGTCTCCATGGCCAAGGAGACGAAGGGACCTCGTCTCCATGGCTATGGAGACGAAGATCTTTGTCTCCATGGCTGGAGATGGAGGTTCGTCTCCAGCCATGGAGATGAAGTCGGTCGGACACGATTCGTCTCCGGCGGACAGTTTCTGTTTTTTTTTTTAATTATTTATTTATTAAAAATTATTTTAAAAAATTAATTTTAAAATCAGTAACTTGGTACATTAAGTAAACAAGTCATTTTGGGCTAAATTGCATGTTTTTGTGTTGTTAATGGCTTGCAATCTTGTTTAGTTCAATGGCCTAATTACAATTTGGTACGCAGTTGAGTGGCCTATTTGATCCTTATTCCTAAAAATTAAAATACATATAATATAATATTGATATAGTAATTTCGATAAGAGTTAATTCCAGCAATAGTCCTCCGACTATTGTGATTTTCCAAAATTGGTCCTCGTCTTTTAATTTGGACGAAAAAGACACTCGACTTTCAGATTTGTTCCACCATTGGTCCTTCCGTTAACTTTCAGTTTGTTAGGTGTTAGTGTAGGGGCTAAAATGGTCATTTCATTAGCTTTAAAAAAAAAAAACAGCTTGCTTTCCTCTTCCTCATGTTCTTGAAGAAAGACGGTTTGCAATTGAGCTGACTGAGGAACAGAAGAAGTATGTTGAAGAGTAAGGGCGAGGAGAAAGGTGAAAGAGAAAAAGGAGAGCCTTTGGTTATTGAGAAGAGTACTTTTCATGGTAAGGAAGAGAGGGTCATGGATTGCACCTTCTAAGGACGCCAGGCCACAGAATGATCACTATTATATTCCAAAGAAATTGGCGCATACTTGGAGTGGCCACACGAAAGGAGTTTCAACTATTAGGTTCTTCCCCAAGCATGGCTATTTGATTATTTCTGCTGGAATGGACACGAAAGTGAAGATTTGGGATGTTTTCAATTCAGGCAAGTGCATGAGGACTTACATGGCCACATGGGGCACTCAAAGGCGGTGAGAGATATTTGATTTAGCAATGATGGAACTAAATTTTTAACTGCGAGCTATGACAAATTTTTTTGACATCCCATGTGTTTAATTTATATGTCAGATTTTTTTTTTTTGGAGTTTATTTGAGTTCAAATGCGATTAATATTTGAAAAATGTTTATTTAACTGTTGAGAAAAAATCTGAGTTAGTTTGTAAGAAACCTGCTCATCTTGCAGTTTTCTTGATATATCATTTTTTTTTTTTGGAATCAAAAGATCATTTTCACTGGACTCTGTTTATGCTTTGATGGATGGTTAGTGCTGCAGTAGTGGTTAAAGCTTTTGCAGATGAATCTGCAAGCTCGAAAACACACATGTAAAATTCCAGTTTAAAACTAAAATAGCTTCATGTAATGTAGTGTAAATGGGATGAATCCTCCATGTTTTTTATCTGAACTATGTACTAAGACAGTGGGATATGAACTCTGGACAGATTATTCAAGAGTATGATCAGCATCTTGGAGCAGTTAATACAATCACATTTGTAGATGACAATAGGAGGTTTATGACTTCTAATAGTGATGATAAATATCTCCGGGTATGGGAGTTTGGCATTCCTGTTGTTATAAAGTACATTAGTGAATCCCATATGCATTCTATGCCCTCCATTTCACCACATCCAAATGGGAATTGGCTTGCGGCCCAGAGTTTGGATAATCAAATCCTTATTTATAGTACTAGGGAGAGGTTCCAGCTGAAGAAGAAGAAGAGATTTGCTGGACATATTGTAGTTGGGTATGCCTGTCAGATTAATTTCTCACCTGATGGGCAGTTTGTCCTGTCAGGAGATGGTGAAGGTAGATGTTGTGAGGAAGAAGAAAGCAAGTTAATGAAATGACCATTTTAGCCCTTACACTAACACCTAACAAACTGAAAGTTAACGGAAGGACTAATGTTGGAACAAATCTAAAAGTCCAGTGTCTTTTTCGTCCAAATTAAAAGACAAGGACCAATTTTGAAAAATTACAATAGTCGGAGGACCATTGCTGGAATTAACTCTTTCGATAATTAAATGTACTAGATGTTTTATGCTATATTATTATTGTGGAATAAATTAAAATTTTAAAAATATTGTTAAATTCAATTTTTTTAATAATTAACGTTATAAAAAAATTATTATTAATAAAAACTATTATTTACATCACAAGTTATATTTTATATTAAACTAATTAAGTTCGAACTAAATTATACGAAATATTAAACTAATTAAATTCGAATTAATAATTGAGAAATCAAATTATTTTAGTGTACAAATCATATTATTGTAGTTTAGAAATCAAAGAAATCATTAAAATGTATGTGAACATCATCAAGTGAAACTAACACTTTTTTTTTTTTTTTTTTTTTTTTTTTTTTTTTTTTACAAAAATTTCATTTTAAACATAAAGTCAAACTCCTTGGAAGAATTGAGATCTCTCCATGAGAGATTCCCCCTTGAAGAAGCAAATTTGAATTGTGTGAGATCATAATAAAAGAGAAGATATGTGATGCCAGAATCAATCATGATTCCCAGATTCATTCAAAATTATTATTAATTATACCTAAAATCGGAAAACAAAATTATGATTTGAGCAGAATCAGGAATTCAGTAGATGGATTGAAGAAATGATTGTAAGAAGCTAATGGTTTTCAGCAGGAAGCATGCTTACCATCACTAGAAATAAGAGTGCTCTAACAGTACTGTCAGATGCCCCGGAGCTCTAAAGTGCAATCCCAATAGAAGGCTATAATCAATTATATGCTGTGATTCTAAAAACTGGCAAATCTGTAACTGTTATTGCTCATCAATATAAAGAGCCTATAAATATACATAATCTCATTTTCCAATGTTTGAGATCCGATTGTGCAATAAAGAGTGCCATTAGTCCTTGAAACCCCCTTATCAAGTAATATTTGGATACTTTGAATTTCTCGTTCCCTATGCTTTTATCTAATTCTCCAATCTTAAATCCCTTTTTTGGCATCTTTACTTGAACCATCCAAGTCGGAGCCTATTTCATGTTTATTTCTTGTGAGTAAGTCTTGTATAAGACTGTCTTACTGTACCGTGAAACGTGTAATACTTTTTAGTTAAAATATAATCCTAAGTTGTAACATTGTAGATGATTGGTTTTCTTCCCCATAAAGACTTGCAAAAGGTGAAGAACCTGTAATGGACTTAGGGGTAGAATGATAGAAATTGAAGGTAGAAGAGAGGAATTTAGGGTTTAAAAGAGATAAAAGAAGAAGAAAAGAGATGATGTTTGTATTAAATCTTAGCATAAGAACTTCCATCCTTCTTACAGAAGCTAAATACAAGCTAAGGCTAACAAAATCCCACAATTCAGCTCTCTACAACTAACTGACGCACAACTGGAATTGGGGATGCAAAACGACGTCGCTGGAAGGGATCAACTGCTGCCCTGCAACTGCCCAATCCTACGTCATCGTTTCAATTTATTCTCACCAACGAATTAACGGCTGCTCAGACAACATCGTTTAGGCCTGTTCCCAACTGTTGTATGACTAGGCTTTATCTGCTTCACTTCTTCCATTTGCTCTTACACTTGGAGCCATTACATCACCCCCCCCCCTCTCCCAAGGATCCTTGTCCCCAAGGATCAAATAAGGGAAATTGGCTTTTGATGTGATAAAAATCTTCCCAAGTAGCTTGCTCCTTTGGTAAGTTGGTCCATTGGACAAAAATCTGACGAACTGCCTTGTTATTGCGCTTGACCAACCGTTTAGCCAACACTTGCAAAGGCTCAGCCAGCACCTGACCATCATCACCAGTCAGTGGAGGATCCAATTGAACAGGAGTGCCATCCCCCACCTTCTTCTTTAACTGTGAGACATGGAATACTGGGTGTAGCAAGGAGTTAGGGGGTAAAGACAGCTTATAAGCCACAACACCAATCCTTGCCACCACCTTGTAAGGACCATAAAACTTGGCAGACAGCTTCAGATTGCTTCTCACAGCCAGTGTGGTCTGCCTATAGGGTTGGAGCTTGAGAAAATCCCAATCCCCAATATCAAAAGATCTCTCAGACCTCCCTTTGTCAGCCTGAACCTTCATCCTGTTTTGAGCTTGTCTGAGATTGTCTTTTAGGGCCAACAGTACTGCATACCTGTCTATCAGCCAATCAGTGACCTGTCCCCCAGAGTGGACTCCATCAGCAAGGAGGGGAGGGACATAGCCATAAAGGGCTTGAAAAGGAGAACACTTCAAGGCAGTGTGGTAATTAGTGTTATACCACCACTCTGCCAAGTGCAACCACTTACCCCAACTACTAGGCTTTTGGAAAATCATACATCTCAAATAATATTCAACACACTTATTAACTCTCTCTGTCTGCCCATCAGTTTGAGGATGATAGGCAGTTGAGAGATTCAAATCCACATGCAACCCCTTGAAAACAGACTGCGAAAATTTGCTAGTAAATATTTTATCCATGTCAGATATAATGGACTTAGGCAGCCCATGAAGTTTGTAAACATTTTCTATAAACAAGTCAGCTACCAACTCAGCAGTATAAGGGTTACTTAAAGCAATGAAGTGCCCATACTTTGTCAACCTGTCCACAACCACCAAGATGACATCCTTCCTATTGGATTTAGGAAGTCCCTCAATAAAATACATGGACACACATTGCCAAGCCTCTCCTGGAATAGACAAAGGCTGTAAGAGTCCAGGTAAAGCAACAGTCTCACTCTTGCATCTTTGGCACAATTCACAGGTTTTTACCAAGTTAATCACATCCTTCTTCATGCCCTTCCAATAGAAAAATAGCTTCATCTTGTGGTAAGTTCCAGCTTGGTCAGAGTGGCTCCCAACAACACTCTCATGGAGCTTAAGGATCAGATCCTTTCTTAACCCCCCATTAGAACCCACATATAGTCTGTCTTTGTACCTTAAAAGGCCCCTAGTCACAGAGATATGACTCCCCACATCAGGACTGACCAAGGCAGGAATAAGTCTCGCAGCAACCCATTCATCCCCTTCATAGCTTGCAACAATTTCTTCCATCCATAGAGGTTGCAGCACAGAGATAGAATTTCAGGTGGCCTCCCCAAATTCCCTCCTAGACAGAGCATCAACAGCTACATTGTCAGCCCCCTTTTTATACTGAATAGAGTAGTCAAGCCCCAGCAGCTTAGATAGCCCTTTTTGTTGCAAAGCTGTGGTAATCTTTTGTTCTAGTAGGAACTGTAAACTGTGGTGATCAGTCTTAATGGTGAAGTGTCTTCCCAGTAAATAGGATCTCCATTTGTCCACTGCATTGATGATTGAAATATATTCCTTCTCATAGATGGATAGGCCAAGATGTTCTGCCCCAAAGGCCTTGCTGTAAAAAGCAATAGGCCTTCCTTCTTGAGTCAAAACAGCCCCCATGCCCCTGTAGTTGGCATCAGCTTCAATTGTCAATTCCCTCTGAAAGTCAGGCAAAGCTAGAACATGAGAGTTGCAAAGGGTCTACTTAAGTAGCTCAAAGGCCTCCTCAGCTGCTGGAGTCCAATGGAAGGCATCCTTTTTGAGCATGTCTGTCAAGGGCCTAGAAATGATAGCATAGGCCTGAACGAACTTCCTATAGTAGCCAGCTAGTCCTAGAAAGCCCCTCAACCCTTTAACAACCAAAGGCTTGAGCCAAGCAGCCACTGCTTCCAACTTACTGGGGTCAGTTTGCAACCCTTTGGCAGAGATAATATGGCCCAAATACTCTACCTGTGGCTGAGCAAAAGAGCATTTACTCCTTTTGGCCAACAGTTTGTGTTGTTGCATAACTCTGAAGACCTCTCTCAAATGCTGTCAGTTCATGTCCCAACTTGCACTGTAAACCAAAATGTCATAAAAAAACCAAGACAGACTTCCTCAATAAATTCTTAAACACTTGATTCATAAGGGCCTGAAAGGTGGCAGATGCATTGGTAAGGCCAAATGGCATGACTTTGAACTCATATAGGCCTTGATGAGTTCCAAAAGTAGTCTTGAACTCATCTCCTTCCTTCATTCTGACCTGATGGTACCCAGACCTTAGATCAAGCTTGGAGAAACAAACTGCCCCTGCAAGCTCAAAAAACAAGTCCTCCACCAAGGGAATAGGGAACTTATTCTTCACTGTGATGGAGTTAAGAGCTCTGTAATCAATGCAAAATTTTCATGAATTATCCTTCTTGGGAACTAACAACACTGGTGAAGCAAAACAGGAGGAACTGTGGGAGATTACACCTGCAGCTAGCATTTCATCCACCATTTTCTCTATGATATTCTTTTGATCAAAAGAATATCTATAGGGACCAATATTAATAGGTTTGGAACCAGGTATAAGGGTGATAGAGTGGTCTAAGGTTCTTTGTGGAAGTAAGGTGGTAGGTTCCTGGAATAAGTGCTGAAACTCCTGCAAAATACTGTCAAGTTCAGGGAAATCAGTCAACACAGGTTGAAGGGTGGGAATGGTAGGGGTAGGTGTATTTTCCAAGGCAGCATCACATTGGACTAAAAATCCCTGAATTCCTTCCTTATGCCATTTTCTCAGCTGCTTATTAGAGGTACTTCTCAACATCACATTTCTGGTTAGCCCTTTCAGGTAAACCTTTTTCCCTTCCTTATAGAAGGAAATGCCAGGAGGTCTGGTGTGTAGTTGGATTTGGGCAAATTGATCCACCCAATCCATACCTAAGACCATATCACACCCTCCCAATCTCAACAGCCTGAAATCCTTGACAAACTCCTCCTGCTGAATATGCCAGTTAAGGCCTAAGCAAATTGAGCCACACACAATCTTCTCTCCATTTGCTACTGTCACCATAAGCACCTTTGCCCTCTCTGGTTCCCTTCTCAATTGGCTTAACAGTTTGGGA